ATAAACACAGAAACAGAGTTGTAAAAGTAGCCTGGATATGTTGAAACTTTGGACAAATGTCTTGTCTCTTGGAATGTGGGATTATATTCATCTCCTCGAAAGCCCATGTATGCATAGAAACTTCAATTCTATTTCTATAAACACAGGAACCTAGTAACTACTGTCCGTATTGCTAATGAAATGCTGCTCATTGAGCCAAAGAGAAAATAATGACTTCTTAACATAGGAACACCAAGAAAAACAAAGTATGTTTTAGTCCCTTTGTCAAGCTCACAGTTTTAGGTTTTTTTAGGGTGGCAATCCATGGATACATTCCAAAAAAAAAAGCAATTCAGTAGATGTATGTCATTGTTACAGAACCTGAATATGGAATAAATTTGATGTTATCTCAAGTTGATTTTTGTGTATTTGTGAGCTTGTCTTGTTCCTCAGCTCTACTGTGTAGGTAGATAGTCCTTTCCTGGGAGATACTCATTGGATCGCTAATACAGAGGCATTTTCCTCTTTTCATTTTCCTGTTTGTTCCTAATGCAGAATCACAGAATTGTAGAGCGGGATAGTACCTTCGGTTTTCTAAATCTCTTCCCAAACAGGATATCACTAACCTCTTTAGAATCATTCCTCAATATACAGCAATTTATTGAGAACTGCCTAATACTCAAAGAAGAGATGAAATCTTGAGAACTTGAGTAAATTGTGTTCCAAGCAGGAGTTATTTTCACTTATCAAAATATCTCCTGTTACCTCAAGGTATCCTTGACAAGAATGCTGAAAATGAAAACAAACTTTAATTAGCAAGTCTAGACCATAGAGTGCTTTGGTGGGAGTATTTTGATTATACCTCATACCCATCAGAAGCAGGCAGCTTATCATTGTGAACTGGATACTTTTGTCGAAATTCAGAGTTAGGCTTTGGGAGACTGAGGCAGAAATATAGTTTGAGACCAGGAGTTTGAGACCAGCCTGGGCAATAGCAAGACCTTATCTCTACAAAAAATAAATTAGCGGGGCATAGTTGTACATGCCTGTAATCCCAGCTACTTGGGAGGCTGAGGAAAGAGGATCCTGAGCTCAGGAGTTAGAGCTGCAGCGAGCTATGATGATGTCACTGCACTCTAGGCTGGACAACAGAGTGAGACTCTGTCTCCAAAAAATAAAATAAAAATTCACAATGAAGAAACTAGAGAGGAAATGAGAAAGGTCAAATGGACCTAGTCTGACAGACTACATGAATCTTGTCTCTTAGAGGTCTGTCATAGAAGAGAAAAACAATAGAGACAAAGAAGTAGGACAGGGTCAGTCAGCCTCCTAACCCAGAGAGGTGGCAACATCTCGATTAAGACGAATGCAATAGCTTTTTATTTTCAACAACTGTGTTTTTGCTACTTGGCATTGTCAAAACTTAGCTACAGGTCAGTGTTATATTTTTCCCTTTTAGCTATCTGCTAAAATAAATAAATGCCACAATTGTACTTTTCCAAAGAAACAGAACTATGAACAATTTATAGCCTGTCATGTTTCAAACTGAAGCTGAAACTTTCAATAGCTGTGGGAAAAGATGATGTAAAACACAGAAAAGTTGTATAATATTGCAGTTTTTTTTTAAATTGTTAGTGCATTATTGCATTGAGTATACTAAGTATGTGATAGATTAAATATATTAGTTCCAATCTTTTGACTTTGGGACCCCAAAATAAAGAAGTGATGTTTTCATGTTTATACCTTCTTTTTTGAGTCAAATGTTGATATACTTGAGAGGCATGTTGTCTTCTATTTAATATTTTTATCACCTTGAATTCATGTTTCCTCCAAAGATTAAACATTGTTCTCTAAACTATGGATCTTAAATTCCTTATTAAAAAATTGAAAGTGTGAATACCTTGTTTAGTCTATAATTTCATTTGTTATGGTTGATCAAATTTTCTGGCCCCTGAAAGAGTGCCTTCACCCAGCTACACTTTACTTTGTGTCTATAAATGTATAATTTAAAGTAAATATATTTGCTCTAAAGTCAAGATCAGGTGCACTGCATCAAAACTGTTATAGTGTGGCAAGATTTCTTGGAGCAAGCTTAAACAAATGTTTAAACTGTTTACCATTTGGAAAATACTTGATAAAGGGGAAAGACAAAATACCATTTGCAATAGTTCAATGATATGCAAGCCAAGGTAACATTATACTTTTAGACTAATAAATGATTGTGAAGTGTGGATTATAAAAGCCAATCAGGTGAGTAAGAATTAAAAGACAAAACCACTGAAACTAATGACCTTTTAGGATATCTTTTATGAATAAAACAATTTTTTAATTTGTAATTTTAAGGGGAAATATTCTTTGCCTTTAATATTAAGTCAAATAGATGTGAAGATATTAACTTAAATCCATGAGACACCAAAGTAAGACACAGTATAGCGCTTTAATACAAATAAGAGTGGGTAAAAAGTGTTTGCTTTAATACAAATAAGAGTGGGTAAAAAGTGTTTTACTCTCTTCAGTAAACAAAAATAGTAAATTTAATGTAATTTTGCTATAATTTATCAAATGCCTGACTCAAGGAAGGAAACAGCCTGTGGAGATTTCTAGTTTGGCCGAGTGACAATTTGCTTTTGATCTTGTTTGGTCCTTATTCAACATAATCTAATTTTTCTTTTTTTCCCAAAGTATAGATAGGCTACTTCCCTTTGTTTTTACTAGCATTTTCCTTATTCCATTAACAGAGATGGTTTAGGTAAGCGTGGGTCTCTCTCTCTCCAAGTGTCCACAGTGTCCACTGGTATAACTACAATAATACAAACAGCAGGGAATATGTTCTGCTTTCTGCAATTATCAGAAAATCACCTGTCTCCCTGCATGCACATCCATAGCAATGCTTGTACCATGAATTTAAAAATTCCAACCCGATGGCACAGAGACAATTAATGTTATATAATAAATAGCTTTAGCCACTTCTCTTATGCTATAAAGCTTTTGTACTTAAACCTTACTATAAAAAGATTGTTCAAATACATAAACTGAACAAACATCTGAAAATTTAACTTTATGAACAAAAGTTTAACATTCAAACAGGAGTACAGTTTTCAGGGAATACCTAGGAAGGTAATTTGTTGTCTAATCCAAAATACTGATAACAATCACTTCATGATGAATAAAATGTTTCACCAACAGCTTTATTCTGGTCAACATCTTAACCACTGTGGGTTCTGCACCTTAGAAACAATTGCTAACTAAATCTTCTCTTAGGCTAAACAAGACTTCAGAGGGGATAATCAAAGCATATAAGGGAACAAAACTCCATCACAGTAATCTTAGCCTCTGGAAGATAATTCAATTTTTAGTGTTTTACCTGCTTTAAAAAAACCAAAAACAAACCTCAACTTAGGTTTTCTTAGAGTCTGTGATAGCTGCATCTTGCAAATTCAAACCACATATGCTCTTTAAAACTCCTCCATGTACACCACGGTCAGGAAGAACAACACTAAAAGTCACCAACTTCCACATTCATAAAAGGATAATTTTTTTAGTTTCAAGATTTTAGATTTACTAGAGACAGCCTATATTAGTGTATCAATCATGTCACACAAAAATATTTCCAAAGTGGTCTCTGTTCAACAAATGCTTCTGTTATTATAGATCATTTTGCAATACAGATTGACTAATACATATATAAAACCTGAAAATTGGCTCATGCAAGCATTTTGAATTAGCAGACTACCCTCATGGAAGAGTACTCAGAATTAGTCTTGTAAACTCTGAGAGGTGGGGGTGGATGCTGGCAATCTCAGTCATCAGCATATGCCACCATTAGTTTATGCCTCTCTTGTGGCACATAGCCCCGTACTGGATACCATTTTATCATTCTGCAAAGTTTTGTTTACATCTTTCAGGTGCTGGTCAGATTCTTAGATTAGCTTTTTAGTTCTGTTGATGAACAGACAACTTCAGTTTGAGGGACTGCCAATCCCAGCATCTTCCATAAGCTTCGCTAAATGAATTATGTCATAAATTTGGTTTCTTTCAAAAGTGTTCTGAAGTCAGCTTTGGGGTTGTGATGTATTTGTCTCTCATGTATTCTTCAAATTCTCTTTATTTTTTCCTGTCACTAGAGGAGAACCAAATGCACTGAGGATCTTCCTTAAGGATTTTTTTTACTTCTTTCCACATAGATGTTAAGGTATTAACAAAACTTTCATTCAGAAGTTGCCTAAAGTCTTCCCTCTTCTTTTTGGTAAGTGTGTCAATGTGTTCATTAAGCTTCTATTTATTTTCTTTTTCCAGCAAAGATCCACATTCCCAGTAATGATCTTTTTGGAGCATCTTCTATCAAACCATGACACATTTGAAAAACATACCTCAACAACCCTGATAGTACAGAAGGATTTTTCAAGAAATTTCCAGGGTATTTCCTGGGGTCAGTATACCCCCAGTCGTACATCTTACAGTTTTTTCAAACAGCTTTATTCAGATATAATTCATATACCATACATTGAAAATGTTCAATAGATTTGAGTATATTCATAGTTGTGCAACCACCACCACCACAATCTAACCATAGTATATTCTCATCACCCTGAAAAGAAACCACACACTGATTAGCATTTATTCTTCATTCCACCTACAGCCACTAATTTTTTGCTTATTCTGGATCATATAAATGGAATCCTACCATTTGTGATATTTTGTGACTGGCTCCTTTTACTTAACAGTGTTTTCAAATTTCATCCATATGTAGCATGTATCAGTCCTTTATTTCTTTTTATTGCCAAATGATGGTTATAGACCTAGTGGAACTGCTAAATCATATGGCAACTCTACGTTTAACCTTTTGAGGAAATGAGTCTGTTTTCCGAAGTGGCTGCACCATTTTATGTTCCCACCAGCAATGTACAGGCTTCCAATTTCTTCAACATTTGTTACTTTTTTAATTATAGGCATTGTAGTGGATATGAAGTGATATCTCATTGTGGTTTTGGTTTTCATTTCCCTGATGATCAACTGTGTTGAGCATCTTTTCATGTGCTAACTGGCCATTTGTTATAGTGGTTTATGCTTCTTTCAAAAACTGCTGTCCTATCAAACATTTTCAAAACTCACGGTGTTTTTTAGTGCTAAGGCAATTGTTCTGATGTGCTTTCCTTTGCTCTCTATGACATACCGTGTTCCACCTTCTGATATTTTGCCTAAATACTGTACATACAAACAGCAAGACTTGGCTTCAGGCTACCCATTGTTAAGCCCAAAGTCAACAAAATGCATGGAAACTTTACAATCCTTCAAAATGCTATAGTTAAGCTTTTGCTAAAGCAAGTGTTTTTTCTAACTCCTTGAGCTGCATATTGCCTTGAGTAATCATCATCCGGATGGTATCCTGTAGAAGAAAGTGAAATCTGGTTACCATCTTACCTAGTTAAACAAGCTCTACCATTTTATTAAAATCAAGAACCAATACTGGGAATTTGAACTGCTGCATATTAGGAAAGCCAAAAGCTTTCCAAATATATATGAAACGTACAGCATAAAAGTCAGCTGATGTTGTAGAAGATAGATACATCAATATTAAATTTTAAAACATCGCTTAGGTGAGTGGAAAATCGGTAATATTACAAGCAACGATCAAGACATACCAGCTCAGTGACATTTATATTCCAAGATGTCTGCTAAACTTAAAAAAAAAAAAAAAAAAATTCAACAATCAACACAAAAGAGTCAGGGCCTGTCCTTACCATGATCTTGTTTCTCACCTCTTCGGTGGCACTTTTGTTCCTTCTGAATTCTTCCCTTGCCCAGTCCTTCAGGTATCTGCGATCAGAATCATTTGGAACTTGCCGAATTGCTTGCAAGATCCTTCTGTAGAGAAGGAGAACTTGTTGCCTTCTCATGAACTGCACAGGGGAGGAGAAATGGCAATTACAAACTGTACACTCGCCAGCCCGGAAAAGCAAACCAAATTATAACCAGACGCCTTCTCTTGGGTCATCAATTTTCAAAAAGGTAAAGAAAAACTTTTTTTTTTTTTTTTTTTTTTTTTTAAGAAAGTACCAAGAAGTTCATTTGGGCCGTTTGCTTACTCCTTTGTCAAACCTAAGAACCAGTAAAATCAAAAGCTGACTACCAGGCAGAAAAAGGGCTGCTGGTCTTCTAGAAGTTGTAATCACAACAGCACTTTTTCCAAATTAACGCAGTTGTCCAAATCCTTTGGTTATGTCATTTGCACTTTACCACAGCTCTGTAGAACAGAGCGGTCTTCACCGTGACGCCTGGGCAGCTGGGGCGTCAGGGCGAGAAATCGAAGCCTCAGCCGTCCGCGCCGAACGCGCGCTTCCCGTCTGCCCAGTCGCGGGAAGCCCCACCCCCAGGCCCGGGGCCAATCACAGAGGCAGGAGCCCGCGAGCTGCTCCGGTCACCCCCGAGACCCAGTCTGTAGGGTGAAGGGAGAGGAGGCGAATCGAGCAGCTCAAACTTCGGTAAGCTTCTTTATAAGGCTGAGAGAATCGCTGGTACCTGCTTTAGCGTAAGCGTCGTGGGGGGTAAGCGGGAAGCAGCCATATCCGCCAGGGTCCCTCTGGAGCCTCAGCGCGCAGGAGCGGAAGTGGGGAAACGTCCGGGGGGCGCGGCGAAGGTCGGTTTCCTGGGAGACGGCAGGCGTTTGTACGCTGACTGACGGCCGGGCTTTGGGACTGAAGCTCAGGGGTTTGGAGCGAGTTGACGAGCTACATAGCTCTGGGCTGGGAGTTTCTGCTGACTTAAGTCTTGTTTTCTCCTGGGTAAAATGTGGTAACAATGCATCGTCATAGGGCTGTTCTGATAATGAAATCAGAATGGTAAGGCGGCACAGTTCTTGGCCTGGCACATGGTTAAGAGTTCATTAAATGGAAGCCAAGTTTTTTTTTTTGGGGGGGGGGTGGTAGGGAGAAAAAATTTTAGTGTTCTTTCGAGCCTTTTAAAATGTGTGTAGTTGAAAATACTAAAGCTTAAAATGTTAACACATTAACTGCCATGTGAGTTGTATTTAACTCAGTAGTTTTGAGCCTGGGGCCTCATGAAGCATATGTAACTCTCACATCTCTTCACCTTGGGAGCCGCATGGGGTGCGGGCAACTCACGCTGCCGTGCTGTAGCCTACGTGTTAAGTGATGGGTGGCCCCCTGGGGAGAACCCTGCAGTTGGTGTGTGAAACTCTTGTTACAATTAATATTGACAATTGCATACAACTCATGCACAGATTAAAAAAGTTTTCATTTCAAAGTTTATTTCTACTTTCGTAATAAAACACAGTGGTCCCAAGGAAGGTTTTCTTTCTAATGTGGCAGTCAGTGTGTTAAAGTTCGCATTCTTCTCTTTTTTCCCCCCTTGTTTTCATCCTGTTCTTTTCTGTCGCAAACATTTTCTCCCAGTGGCAGTCTTCATGATCGTCATTTGTAACAAGGCTGCCCCACTGTGGTTTTAAACATTTTTCATCACTAATAACCAGGAACTGACCACCCCTATGCCTCAAGCTTTTATTTCTTCATAGTTTTTATCCTCCCCACAATTCACACCCTTAGACTATATTACTAGAAAGTGGGGTTAGTGAATCTTTGCCATATTACTTTTCCAAATGGTACTAAGATAAAACCAAAAACGTCCATTCAATACCTGTTGACTGAGCATTTGCTGGATTCCTTGCCTGTCTGAATCCTGGTACGCCCTATTCCTGTGTTCTGGTTATTTAGCCTCTCCTGGCCCATTTCCTTAACTGCAAAGTGAAATAGCATCTACCTCAGTTGTATATAATGTACTGGACCAGGACCTGGCACATAAGAACTTAGCTCTTTTGAACTTTACCGGGCATTGTATGAGTAGTGCTAACTCCATGACCACATTGTCAGTATTTTTCAAATTTTGTCTAGTAGATTAGCAGTAACAATTGTTGATTTATTTTCTTAGTGAAAAATATCTCTTGCCATTTTTAGTTATACTGATTTAGTGAATTGTCTGTTCATGACTTGGGTCCTTTTATGATGAAAGAGGACTTTTATTCTAGTTTTACATGGACTATTTGCTCTGTTTAATTTTTTGTCATTTATATATGTTTAAGCTTTAAGTCTCTATACAATTACTTGTATTTTTTGAGGATTTTCATCTTCTGTAACCAACTTTGTTTTTACTGTTTAATTTTTAAAATATTTACTCCATACAGAAGCATGATGTGGATCTAAGTTCTTTTCCAGTCACTAAGCTGTAATTTCAGTACCATTTATTAAATAATTCATTCCTTCTTTTGGGCTTTCTGATGACTTTTTCACCAATGGGCAGATTCTTTTAGGGGCTCAACAATATGTTTAGGATTGTTTCATCTTAGACTAGTTACGTTTTGAGTTTCTTTGTATATGTTTTATTGTCTGGCAGGATTCTAGTTTTTTGTAAAAATCTAGTTAGTTAGTTCTATATGTGACCTTTACAAATGTTTTATATCATTTCCCTCTAAATCATCTTATAATCCTTATTGGAATTTTGAAATAGTGTTGAATCTTATAAATTAATACGTGAGAACAGACATTTTTATACTCTTTCTTTCCCCCATCCGGAAACAAACATTCACTCATGTTAAACACTGGTAATGCTGTTGTCTTACGTTCTTTGTCCTCTAAAACTGCTGTTTTGGGCTGAGTCTTACGTTCTTTGTCCTCTAAAACTGCTATTTTGGGCAGGAAAACCTCTTAAGTAAGTTCAATGCAGTGGTAACAGTGTCAAGATTCATACCCAGGGAGCTCATTCTTTCTGGAGGGCTTTTCCAAGCTAGGCGTTTGTCAGAAAGTCTGAGTCAGTAAGAGGATTCCATTTAGAACACAGATTCCAGGAACTATGGTTTACTGTGATCAGGACAGTGGTGGGGATGCTGGAAGAGAAGAGTCAGGGGACATGCTCGTAGGTCTTACTAAGAGGTTTGAATAGTACCCTACTCACAATGGGGAAGCTTTGAAGAGATTTCCAGACAGATTTTAGAAAGAACTTGGATATTGTGAGTAGGATGAAGCAAACCAAGCAAAGACTCAGCAATCAGTTGAGATATCATTGAAGATTAAAAGAGCCCTAGCTGCAGTGCAATCAGGAGAGGAGAAGGGAAGACAGGATAAATGTACAGAACTGAGACTGGATAAGATGATTAATTTGATTAGAGTTTAGATGGAGAGGTAAGTAAAGCAGATGTTATAGGTTAAGCTCCAAGTTTCTAAACAGGGTGGCTGCTGGAATGGTCAACCCAGATGGGTAATGTTGAAGGAACAGGTTTGGGAGGAATTAGAACACAGTGACATTTTGAACATGATGCATTTGAAGAGTCTCTCACTCAAGTACAGCTCCGGCAGACACCTGAATAATTCATAATTGAGAATACCAAAGAGTAGACTTCCTGATGCCTAGATAGAGATTTTTGCAGGCTTTTTGCTTAGATGATAATTAAGGCTAGGAATGTGGTGAGATTGTCCGAAGTGAGATTATTAAGGATGCATGAAGAACATTTGCATTTTGCTGTCCATTCCTTAAATATCAGAACTTACCTATTTGACCAAGGAGTCTGTGTAGTTGAGGATAGGTGGGGAATGCAGTACACAAATGTCAGCACAGTCAGCATCAACATGGCAGATTGATTTATCTCCACTCCCTGATAGCTGCACAGATCCTCAGTAACTTTAAGTGACTCAAGAATGTCATGCTTCCTGCTCTGGGCCAGGAACCCTCACCCCATCAGTTCCTGACCCATCCTATAAATGTTGTTCCCATTTCCCACCACAAGTTGAAAATAGCACTCTTAGGCACCTGCTTACTGGAATTCCTACTGTCCCAGACTCCATGAGCTTAAGCCAGGGCCAAGGTAATCCATTCTGGGCATATCAGTTGGGAAACTCCATCTTAGACCTCTCAAAGGTAAATATGATAAACTGCACCACTGTCATAATGTTGTCTTTCCCTACCACATTCAACCCTGCTGGAAGATTAAACTTCCTGCCCCATAGAAGGCTTTAGCCAATTTGAGTCATTGCATGGTTTCCCAGTCACACCCTTTTCCCTCTGTGACAAAGCGAGCATGTTACAACTCACCTGCCATGGACATAAACACAAGTAAGAAATTGAAGTTACGGGATCATGTTAGCACAGCATAAACTAGTGAGAGCTGACTGATCTAGCAGAGAGCAATTCTCTAGCACACCTTTTATAATCCTGTCGCGTTTCATTAAGAATGGTCACAAATTACATAAACAGTGGTATATGTTTTAATAATTTTTAGATATAAGCTGCATAGCTTTTCAGAATAAAAAATGATGTAACTTCAAGTACATGCTTTAGGACACTTGGTTAAACGAGCAATCTGTGTCTTTGATGACCACCTCAAAAGGGTGGCAAACTTCACAGTGTAACTTGAAAACAGACGTGGGAAAGATGGTTACATCATGGCATGTAAGCATGTTGCCTACAAAAGAACATTAAGTAGAACACAGCACACAGTTTCAAGTATTCAAGCACTGCTTTGTGGCCAAGGAAAAATTGCTTAAAAACCTTTGATGTATTACTGACTAGAAAAAATAAGATGTAGCCACTTAGATCTGGACACAGCATTTCTTTTCCAGAATGAGACTGGCTCAGTCCAGCTGGAAAGCAGTGTGAGGAATGTTTCTTCCCCTTAACTGTTAAGGAAAAAAAAAATGAACCAAAGGAATAAATTACTACAACACCAGGAACTATGGCACTGAATGAAATAAAGGGAAAATCATCTTTTCATCATTGCATAGTCTCCCGAAGCAGCAAACATGAAAGAGGACACTGAAAAGCCACTTCGTTTTTACACAGCCCAAGGATCATTTTTGCAGATTACTTGGGCTCCCATAATGTCCACTTGCTTTATGAGAACACAGCCCCCACACACTTTCTACCTTCCAAGAAAAGGTAGTTCCTTTCATAATAAGCACTAAGAAAACACATCTTCTGACTCTCCAGAAAACTACAGCTGTCTCAGCTACTTGACAGCTTTTGGGTACACCCTTGGCAAGGCAGAGCTTAAAGCAGGGACAAAAGGGCAGTTTCCTTTTTTCCTTTGTCCAAAGGCCTGGAACAGTCCCATGTTCCTGGCAGCATCTTCTCAAGGTACAGGTGTCCAAGTCCCCCTCTTGGGCCAGGGCTTCCAAGACAGGGAGGAAGAGAGCTCTTCCTCAGTTCAGACACTGCTGCTACTGCTCCTTCGCTGCCCCAAGTTTGTTATAAAACCTTAGCCAAGGCAAAGCAGGGAGCCTGAGAGCTTTCTCTAGGCTCTGACATCATGTTGTAAGATAAATACATACAATAAACGTTTTGTACCTATTAGATGACTTTATAAATCAGATCTAAGTAAAGATAATTATATTTTAGAGCTGTAAGTTCAGAAACAGTTGTCCAAAAGGGAGCACAGGGGCGTATGACATTCTGACCATAGTTTAAAGAAAGTCACTTTGGATTGCTCTTTCTGTCCTACGGGTGGTCAGAAGCTGTCACTAACTCAAACCACTGTCTGAGGGCATCGCTGAGTGTCTCAGGAAGCGCATTCACATCTCGAAGAATGATATAGAAGGGGAATGGGAACTCCTCCATGTAGGATCGGATTTCAGGCATCTCTCCAGGTCCTTTAAATATTGGTACTTTAATGTCCAAGATAGAATCCTGCCAACAAAAAGATATTTTGAAATAAAAGGAAAACTAAATCAATGTCCGTGGCTAGCCTTCTGTGTCTTATTCCTGCATAAGAAACTAGCTTTTTATTACGAAGTAAAAGAAAATTTTCAACTCTCATTAAGTGGAGGAGGCAAATCCCTTTCTGAGTGCCCCTTTCAGGAGAATGAAATTAAAAGGAAGGAAAGGGGGCAGACAAGAAAATCTACTTCCTCTACCATGGTGTCTTCCCTTCTCTACTTGGAATAATTTACTTGGAATAAATCACATTAAATCTTCCCCTTGCTATCAAGGCTTAATGTGACCTGCAGAGATAATGCTTCCCCTAGAACAGAACTGCCCTGCAGGCGTATTTCATTCACGAAGCTGATTGATGCTTCCTGCTGTGAGGAGGGCTGCTGAGATGTAAGTATGGAAAGAGCTGGTCTCCACTTCAAAGTGGTCAGGGCCACTGTCAACGCTGCAGTGCCCATACTGACTTTGAATAGAGGGGAGCATTCTGAATCTTGGCTCTCCCTCAGTCATTACCTATAAGCTGTGACTTTCACTATAAGGTGGGAATAATGACCCCTACCGCGCTGGCTTATTGTGAAGATTGATGAGTAGATACAAAGTGCCTAGAACAGTGCCTGACAGAATACCATGAATGCTGGGAACTGCCAGTATGATGGTGCAACCCAGGCTATATATTCAGGTGGAAAAGGTTAAAGGGAATCTCTACTTTATCTCCAGAAAAGGTGGCTTTTAGCAGTCACTCACCCGTGAACTGGGATTGTCCAACACGACAAAAATTACAAAGATGTTAGCATTCTGGGCAGCCTGAACTGCTGCCAGGACTCTTTCTTTGCCCTCAAGGAAAAGGCCTCGTCCATCGGAGACTATCAGGAGGAGTTGTGCAGTTTCTGTAGAATATATGAGAGAAAGAAAGGAATAAAATAAAAATACTTTTTATTGGAGACAGTCTGGCTCTGTCACCCAGGCTAGAGTACAGTGGCATCATCATAGCTCACTGCAACCTCAAACTCCTGGGCTCAAGCAGTCCTCCTGCCTCAGCCTTCTATAGGTACGTGCCACCATGCCTGGCTAATTTTTCTATTTTTTGTAGAGGTGGGGCCTCGATCCTGCTTAGGTTGGTCTCAAACTCCTGGCCTCAAGTGATCCTCCCTTGGCCTATGAAAGTGCTAGGATTACGGGTGTGAGCCACTGCGCCCAGCCGAAAATACATTTTTTTTTTTTTTGAAAATACATTTTAACAACCCAAAACTACCTAAAGTAGGTCAAATTTAATGTGAGCTTTCTCTATACTATTAAAACTAAACGGATCTCTGAAACTGATGATTTTTAGACATGAAAGGAGCCTCTGATTAGATCTATTACTTAGGATGCCTGAGTCAGAGACAAGATATAATAAATAAGATATAATAAGTTTCTGTCAATATAGCAGAATTTCCCTATAGAGCTTGAGGAAATGTCAAATTTAGATCAACTTCAACTGTAGAACAGTATATGTATGAGAGAATTAAAACTTGTCTATGGCTATAAACTATAAAATGATAGTACTGAGCAGGCCATCAATTCCATCTGTTTGTGTCTTTTCCTATAGAGCATACATTTTAAAACATGGTGATAGGTACAGTGAGATGAAGCAAGCAGCTATTGAATACAGAGAACAGGAAAGCATTTTGTTAACAAATGAAAGAATGCAGCTCACCTGGACTGATGTTTTGTGAGAGCTGCTGAGCAGCAACAAACATGTTGGCGACAGACTCTAGAAACTAAACCAGAACCAGAAATAGACAATTAGAAAACTATTTAAACTCTCCTCCTATTGTCAAAAGGTCTGAAATTACTTCTGGCACTGAAGTGATTATTATAAGATAACCATCTCAGGTTTATAGGCCATCAACTGTCCCTTCCGGCCAACTGTAGTAGAGGAAGAAGGATCCTTGTATTGCATGGCATTTACCCTTGGATACGGGCCTTCTCAAGCACAGACAAAACATGTCTCTGGTATACATCCCACTAGAGTTCTAGAAGATATCCCAAAGGAAAAGAAATACTCCCCTGGGAGATAAGAAGCCAATAACCCCCTCAAATAAACCAAACACCTGCCTTCTTTCAAGAAAATAACTGAGCAAAAAAGGGGCAAGAAAACACAAAATGTCCAATGCAAACTAAAGAAAGGTGATTATATTAGAACAGGAACCAGGAGAAATGTCCTATCCTCTTTTTTAACTTGTTATGTCATCCTGAGCAAGTCACTGGCTTTATTTTACATCATTTCTTCTCTAGGCTAAATGAGGGAAATTAATAGGTCTTGGCCCATCTGATAAGGGTACTGGAAGATGGGTTTGTTTTTACAAAACGTTCCAACAGCTTAGAAAAAATAGGGAGCCAGAAACCAATGATGCGAAATCAAATGATCTTTGAGGAACTGAGAAAAAGAAGTCTACACCTTGTTTTATAATGGATACCAACTAAGCTTCTATTCCAGTAATACACAGGCTAAAGTTTAGGACTATTCTTTATTGTAAATTTTACCTGTCCTTAAGATATTGGGGGAGGGAGAGTTCAAAAAATTTTTCTCTCTTATATCAGCTTAAGAATAACTGTGCAGAAGACATTTGATTTCATCTACATACCTGAGCAATCTTGGTTTTCTTTTGTTGGAATGTGCAGAGCCGTAGAATCTGGGACCCGGAGTAATCACTGAACTGCTCATGGAATGGGTGTAACAGCTTTACAGATTCTCCAAAACTTGGGGGAGAAAAACCAAGTACAAAAGGAGTTATTGTCATGTGATCAAAATCAGTTGTGAAAAGGGTTTTCCCAATGGGACTAAAAGGACTTACCTGCACACTGCAATCTGACCTGCTTCCAGGAGGGTTAGTGCATTTCCAATCACAGCCAAAGATTCAAATGCAAGCTGTGAAATAGAAAGTTAGGGATTTAAGGAATCAGAATGTCCTCTAAATCAGTGCCTCTCAATCATTTTTTTACATCAAGATTCCCACAGAAAATGCTATTTTTTGTGCAGCACACAGGAGAACATCGGTAAGGCTATCATAGTTCAAAACCAATCCAGAGGCTTTGGCAGCCACAAATGTAGAAACCTAAAATCCATTACACTGGTAGGAATGGTCTTCTCTAGACAACATCTAATAAAAGTGACCTTAAGAAATATGGTTCATAAATTTAAATTTTTCTTTTTTTTTTTTGACTACATAAGAAGTAATCTCTTATGGGTAAGAAATTTAAAAAGTCAATTTAAAACATTAATATGTAGTAAAATCACACTGTAGAACTGTATTAGAAAATGTCATTACCACGTGCATAAATGACAGCATAGTTTTAGAATTTAAACTCGTCTAAAATACACCAGACTGAATGTTTTAAATATATTATTTCATTTAATCTTCATAAGAATTCTGAGTATGAGATTATATTGTTGTAAGTATATATGTGTGTGGGTGTGTGTGTGTGTGTGTGTGTGTATATATATGTGTGTGAAAGTTGTATTATTATAATCCTCATTTTTCAGAAGATGAAACTGACACTTAAGAAGTTGCCCAAAATTGTGGTAATAAGTAGGGAGCTGGGATATAAACCCAGGTTCAGAAGTTACACTCTAACTTTTTCCAGCAGAACATACACATTTTAGGTCGCTCATTAGTTCATGCTGTATAATGGCATCACTGCCAAAAACACACACTCTTCAGTGTATATAATGATGATATTGTAAGTAATCCTATTCAAGCTCCTAAACATTGTTAAAACTGGTAGAACACTGACTCTGGATAATTTCAGACTTACGTGTATCCTGAATACATTTAGATAAAAAAAAAAAAATCGAAGGTTTCAGATATAACAGTGTTGTGCATAGTCTTAACAGTTTAAGAGTACACTGTAGGCAGGTTATGGTGGCTCACGCCTATAATCCTAGCATTTTGGGGAGGCTGAGGCCAGGAGTTTGACAACAGCCTGACCAAGAGTGAGACCTACAAAAAAATAGGAAAATTAGCCAGGCTTGGTAGTGTGCGCCTGTAGCCACTTGAGAGGCTGGGGCAGGAGAATCGCTTGAGCCCAAGAGTTTGAGGTTGCATTGAGCTAAGATGAGGCCACTGAACTCCAGGCTGGGTGACAGAGCAAGACCCTGTCTAAAAAAAAAGAAAAAAAAAAAGAAAGGGAAGAAAGGAAGAAAGAAACCACATTGTTGCATTTTCTAGAAAATAAACATTGTCAGATTTACTTATTTTGCAACTAGATAGTAGAGGGTTAAGAAACAATTTAAAGGACTAAAATATTTGAGACATCCTGAACTGCCTTTTGAACTCTTTAAACCTTGTCTTCTCAAAGATAGTCATCACATTCTCAGAACAGGTAAAGTGGTTGTTTTATCATATTTAAAACATCAGATGGCCCATGAAATATAATCTGATATTAATTTCCCATCAAATTGCCACTACATTTCTATTCCTTACCTGCTTGGTGTGGTTGTCTACCATACTAGAAGAGTCATCGATAGCCAAACATATCTGATACTGGCGTTTACTGGGCTTAGTCCTTCGAAGCCAAATCTTGTCTTTCCGAAATTGACTAGCAATGTATGGAATGACCTTCCGCATGTTTAGTCGCTTCCCTGTTCGATAGTCTCCCCTATTAAATTTATCCAGACAAGGACAAAGATTAGTTAGCAACTGCTAATTCCTCAGAATTTTCCCTAAGGACAAAAATCATATTAATAATACCTTAAAACCAACAATACCAAAAAACCTGTGCAAGGAATGTGGCACAATGAAGTGTGGTCAATTGAGGACTAAGGACCAGGATTTTCTTGACCACTAGCCAGAAAAACTGGACATGTATGTGGCAATAACAATTAGGTCCTTCCAGAAAAGCTAAGATACATTTTGAAAAATTAGAAAAAATGTTTGCATCGAATATGAAGTTTTGGATTCTCTCTTTTATGTTCTAAAACTGTGGTTTTGGACACATCTTTGAAAAGATCTAGATGAGTAACACCTATAGCAAGTGAGGAACATGGTATGTAGCAAGGTGAGCTGCACATACACCCAAAGGCTCAGCCAATTTTCCATCAAATAGTAATAAACAAAAGAAACTGCATTCATACCAAACAGCACAGAAACTTTTGTGGTAGAGATAGCAATAGGAAATCAGGGTAAGGAACACCATACTGGTGGCCTACGCAACAGAAGTGGCAACCTGGAAGCCAGTACCGTAAGTGGTTAGGTGCTGAGCTCAACAAAATTGGCGATGCTGCCATCTTTTCAGGGCACTGTGAGGGCTTCCAGTGGGGAAGACTTACTTCAGCTTGGCTGCCTGGGTAGGCTCTAATATGAGACGAAGCTGTTCACACAACTGCTGTGAAAGAGGCGCAGTTAAGACCAGGTAACTCTGCCACATCTCAGCTGCAGCCTTCTCCTGTGACAACAAAATTCAAGTTACCCTCACAATGTCAGAGCCAACCAAGTCTTTATAGGGAGAAAATGACCTGCATGAACTTTCTCAACAGAAGCACTTTAAAGCTTCTCTCAGCAAAGTGCTTTCTAATTCAGGTGATTAAAAATGTCTCCCCTTCCACCAAACCACAACCCACACTTCCAAGTGAGAAAGAATGAAACAAAGCAGTTTATTATTGGATTTCATGACCAAACCAATGCCTTATTCACATCACCTACAGAAAGCATAATCCGTACACTTCACATGGGGAAGATGTGAATGGGTAATTTCGGTGCCAGCAGATCCAGCTACTCATTCATGGGCTCTCAGAATCATGTTTCAAAAGTAAAAGCGACAAGTGAGTGTAATCCCTCAAGTAACACATTCAGCAATGTGCTTATTTCCTAGACACAAAAGCCCCATAATTTTTCAGCCAACTATGGCCGAGCATTCAATGTGTATATGTGGTGGGAATGATGAGGACAATAGATACAACAGAAGTTAAAGGGGCTAAACTTACCAGTTTCTGTTTTAATTAAGACGTAGAGCTAGTGGCAAAGCAGACAGAAAGTAATGGATAGACTAAGGCTTTAGGATTCTAATTATATTTTCCTTATGCCTTGTCCCTTTTACAAAGGTTTTTGGAACTAAGAACCTATTAAGTTTGCTGTATCTTAAAAAACAAAACAAAAAAGTCAAGGTATTTTAGGAAAAAATTCAGTGACTTACTTCTTCTGGGTTTCCAGATTCATGTGGCTGCCACGTTTCCAGCTGTCTCTCCAGCTCCTGTCTTAGCTCACTGACATCTTTTAAAAAGGGCTAAGAAGAAAAAGCCACAGATAAGAAGCAGCCCACGTTGGAACCCACATTGGAACCCCCAAATTATTACCACTGGCTGCCTTCCTCCCTGCAGTGTGACCTCAAAGGAAATAGTCAAATGCCCCTGAGATTCAAAACTGAAGCAAATTCAGTGGCACAATAAAAAGATGCAAGACCACTGTTCCTCTTCTGCTTCCCATCTTAGACAATATGGACAAAGGAAACTTTTAACATTTATGAATCCACTCTACTAAAACAAAAATACCCTTAAGTCATCAATAATTAAAATATTCTTTGATCAAGCCAGACTGCCAGTAAGTCAAACTATTAAGGAAAAGAACTCAGTTAAATGGCTCTTCTGCATAGAGGCATTAAACGAAAGATTCTTTTTACTTACCCATCATGAACTGCTAATTGTTCTACAGGTTTCTTACATAAAGATGGTAAGGAGAGTAGCACATGAGAGCCAGAGGCAAGGACCAGACCCACCATTATGGACAGGTCACTATAACCCTGGAATTAACTGTTGGAACAGTGTCATTTGTTTAAAGAACACCTGTCACACCAGTAGCATACCTAAAAATTTTTTAAGAACATGATACACCAAAACAACCAGATGCTCCTTCTAAAGGTAAAGGTTTAAAGGCAATTTAAAATTATATTTTGTCAATTTTTACAGCAGTAATTTGTGAGTTTTAGTACCGGGAAAATGGTGTCCATGAGGAACTGATGGGCTGTATGAATGGTTGAATCTTGGCTTCTCTCTGGTTTCTCATTCTCTGTCTCCGTGTGGGATTTGTCTGTTCTGGGGTCTTGGTCTTTCTCTGTTTCGACAGTTTGAGTCTCCATCTCATCAGAGCCTATTTTCATATAAGGACATAGTTTTACTTATGATAACTTAATGGCTGAGCCTTTGCTGTTGCCCACCAGTCCTATTAATAACAATTAATCAAACCACTCGCTCACTCCCCAACGTATTTCCACATATTGATTCCAAATATTCTTTCTCCATGAGTCATTGCCAGTTCTTACTCCCTAATTTCTCCTCCTCCCCACCCCAGTGGTGAAGGCGGACATTAATATTTGAGACTGTAGTTTATTCTAACAAGGCTTGTAAAACTATGTGATTCTTGAAACTAAGTGCATACTAAAATAAATAAAATAGTCCATTTTACACATGAGGAAACTGATACAAAGAAAAGGTAAATAGGCCGGGTGCGGTGGCTCACACCTGTAATCCTAGCACTCTGGGAGGCTGAGGCGGGCAGATCATTTGAGCTCAGGAGTTCAAGACCAGCCTGAGCAAGAGCGAGACCTCGTCTCTACTAAATAAATAGAAAGAAATTAGCTGGGTCGGGCGCGGTGGCTAACGCCTGTAATCCTAGCTCTCTGGGAGGCCGAGGCGGGCGGATTGTTTGAGCTCAGGAGTTCGAAACCAGCCTGAGCAAGAGCGAGACCCCGTCTCTACTAAAAATAGAAAGAAATTAATCGGACAACTAAAAATATATAGAAAAAATTAGCCGGGCATGGTGGCACATGCCTGTAGTCCCAGCTACTTGGGAGGCTGAGGCAGAGTTTGAGGTTGCTGTGAGCTAGGCTGATGCCACAGCACTCTAGACCGGGCAACAGAGTGAGACTCTGTCTCAAAAAAAAAAAAAAAAGTAAATAATTTGCCTCGACCTGTCAAGTGAGTAAGAGGCAAAGCCTGGATTTGGATCCAGGAAAGTAACCACAGAGCTCTGCTTCTCTCACTATCATGTAGCAGCAGGGCAGACAATCTTATCTAACAACCCTCAGAGGACAGGAATGAAGCAGAAGAAAAAGTCTTTGAGTTTGGCAATTGTTTTTGAATTTGCATTTAGCCCATTGCTGATAAAGTTCTTTTTTTTTTTTTTTTTTTGAGACAGAGTCTCGCTTTTGTTGCCCGTGCTAGAGTGAGTGCTGTGGTGTCAGCCTAGTTCACAGCAACCTCAAACTCCTGGGCTCAGGCAATCCTACTGCCTCAGCCTCCCGAGTAGCTGAGACTACAGGCATGCGCCACCATGCCCGGCTAATTTTTTCTATATATTTTTTTAGTTGTCCAATTAATTTCTTTCTATTTTTAGTAGAGACAGGGTCTCGCTCTGCTCAGGCTGGTATTGAACTCCTGAGCTCAAACGATCCGCCTGCCTCGGCCTCCCAGAGTGCTAGGATTACAGGCGTGAGCCACCGCGCCCGGCCAAAGTTATTTTTTAATGTGCTAAATGTATGTCTTTTTTTTAAAATAAACTGCCTAGTAATAGAACTTGACTAGCTATGAAATGGAAGCTTGTTGCTTTCTCACATGTATTTTCCTCTATTTAATATTTCACTGCATTTTATGCTAATATTGTATACTTTTATGTAATTGGAAACATTTCTTTAATAATCAAGAATATACCTTCTCATCTCAGCTGCAGTAAATGTACTATTCTGTTTTCTTCAACATATTTTAAAAACACCAATGGGATTTTGTTGGAAATTCAAGTTTCAGAGGTCTCCTTGATGGATGGTATCCTGCAACACCACCCCTATACCTGTCCACCTTTTTGCTCCCAAATAAAACATAGTGAAATGACTATAGGCAAATTATTCATCTAAGCCATGGACTTGGGTATGGGACAAAACACCAGACTAGATGACAGTACGAGAGAACAGAGTGCTCAGGAAGGGTCTGTTTACTCCAGGACTCACTGAAGGCTGCTGTGGTGCCCGACTTGACCTCCTCTGGCTTCAGCTGCTCCGTGTCTGCTGCTTTGAACTCCTCCTGCTCCTCTGTGTCCATGAGGATTTCCTCTATCCCCTCCTCTTCCTGATCCTTGCCAGCATCTTTTGCAGACTGTTGCTGCTCCTTGCTGGCCACGTCTGCCAACAAATGCGTACACACACACAAAACTCAGGTCTTTGCAGAAAGAAGTAATGAGAGGACTATGGTTTCGGTCATTTCTAGCTTCCAAAATTCTACTAATGCTCGTTCTGCCACCGACCACCTATGTGGCCTGGACACTTGTCTGTGCCTAAGATTTCCTACTGACCTAATGAAGTAACTATCTGCCCCCTACCTCCTACAGAAGTTATGAGATATAGTGTGACTAACTATACGTATGGCCACAGAAGTAGGATGTTTGACTGGGTTCTCACTACTATGCCTAGAAAATGATCCAGAATAGACGCCTGAGCTTGTGACTCAAAGCAGCTCATGGAAATCATCCGCCATTACTGACTTGTGGGTAGAGAAACTGTTAAGAGTTGACTCTATAAGAATGACTATAATTAACAATTTATTGTATATTTTCAAATAGCTAGAAGAGCAGATTTGTTTATGTCCCCAACACAAAGAGTGATAAATGTTTGAGGTGACAGATATGTTAGTTATCCTGATTTGATCATTAAATACTGAATATACATATTGAAATACCACACTGTACCCTGTAAGTTTTTATGTGTCAATTAAAAAAAAAAAAAAAAACTATAATACAAGGCACAGAAAGACCAACATGGGGATGGGAATCCCAGCATTGTGATCTTGGACGAGTTCTTAAAATTCTTTGGCCTCAGTGCACTCACCCATAGAGTGGAGACAGCCTAGGTCATAGGACTGATTATTTTAGGAAGTCCATGATCATGCAGAAAAAGCTCAGAAAAGTTTTTGGTACAAAGCAAAAGCTCAACACATGGTAGCTATTATATTACTGCTTTACTTTTGTTTTTCAAGTGGGGACAGGGAGAGAAAGAAGTAATCCATTGCAGAGCAATCATTTTCCTACCATCCTCATAGATATTATCAACGCTACTTTACATGTTAGTAATGAAACAGTGAAAAGTCACCAAGAGAACCAGAAGGGAAGACTGTCCAATGACTGACCACCTACCACCTTCTTGTGCTTAGACTTTCTTCCTCCCCTTTTCACTTTTGGGGAAAACACGTATTTCAAATTCAAGTTCACCGTGCATGTCATTGCAGGGACTTACCTGAAGGTGTCTATGAAGAAATCTCCAGTACTAAGAAACCCTGAGATCAACGTTTGGTTTAGATGTGGCCAACTGTTCTCCAGGATATTTAAAAGGCTTATACTGAGCCCAGAAGGCTGGGCATGGTGGCTCATGCCTGTAATCCCAGCACTTTGGGGAGGCTGAGGTGGGAGGATTGCTTGAGGACAGGAGTTGGAAACCAGCCTGGGAAACACAGTGAGAGCCCACCTCTACAAAAAAGAGGTGTGGCAGCGTACACCTGTAGGCCCAGCTACTCAGGAGGCTGAGGCAGGAGGATCACTTGAGCCCTGGAATCGGAGGTTTAAGTGAGCTATGATCATGCCACTGCACTCCAGCCTGGGTGACAGAGCAATACTTTATCTCCAAAAAAGAAGGCTTACACTAAGCCCAGAAACTTGAGCATCTTCACGTAGCTATGGATACCATTGTACCAAAACCAAACCACACTTCTTACAGTTTAAAAAGCCACTTCCTTTCGCTCCTAATGTACTAATGAATTTGCACTAACATCTGGCAGGCACAAGTCAGAAAGCATAAGCTCTCACACCTCAGTGAGCAAAAGGAGCAGCTTTCCCTGTAACATACCATAGGTCTGTGCATCGTATGTGTCACTGCCTTGTTTAATGTGCTCAAATTCATCTGCGTCCTCCACCTGGGCCTGGGGCTGGGCCGGGCTCTGCTCCGCATGGCTGTCCGCATCCACAGTCCTCAGCCTTTTGTGTACATGCTCATTGTGATCACCCATGGAGCGTTCATTGTCAGCCTCTCCAGGTTTCCTCTTAAAACTCTGTGGGAAAAGTCCATAAATAACCATGAAGTACAGGGGACAGGTTAAGTAAATTAAGTACAACCATACAATAATGGAATTTAAAGTAGCTATCAAAAAGAACAGGGCTTCTACATACTCATATAGAACAATCTCTATATCTAAAATGAAGGGAAGGAAGCAAAGAAACACACCCTCGCACACACAAACATCCACATGTTATATATGCAGAAAACATCCCCGAAAGAAGGAAAAACTGGTAGCACCAATTTGATCTGGGGAGGTCCCTTGCATTGTGTGGGGACAGGGATAGAATATGTAGGCTTTTTAGGGGATTGGTTTTTATATACTTATTTTTATCATGTGCATAAATTACACCCTGCCAAGCAAACAAATTTTAAAAAGCAAAAGACAATGAACAGTGAAAAGAGTAAGACTGGCTGGCACTGTGCAGCAGCACACAGCACCTGGCTCTTAGGCTCCACAGCAGGAACGGGGTGAGGGTGCAGGGAAGAAGCCCCAGTGAAGGATTCCATCGGGAAAACCTCATGGTCCTGGTCTGCTCACCAAGGCTGCCATCACTTCTGGTGGGACTGCTTTTTTTTTTTTTTTACCACTACATTTAAAACATCTTTTTCTATAGGTAACCTTCACCTAAGTTTAGTTAAGGAGTGATAGAAACCTGTGTATTTTTCCTGGTGTGTTTCTGGGAGGCCAACCGGGCGATGAAGTTGGATTCATGGCCTTCTGCCTGGTTTGCATCTGCAGCTCCACTCCCATGTTCCTAGGAAATCGAAGCCATAAAAGAAATGAGGTGGGGGAGCTATCACAAGCATCTGGTTACTGTGCTGCACGGAGTACAACGTCTCTCATCATCGCTCTCATCTCAGAGTCATGTGATCACTTCTGCCTACTCTGGAACTCACCCATGACTAAGGCCTGGCCTATGAGCAGAAATAGGAACATCTAGATACAGAACTATGTTACCCTCTCAAGTGGCCTTCACTTTGCAAGGGTTGTTAGTCCCTTGTCTACACAAAGAATATATCACTCCAAAGGCAGGACCGACCTCTATTGGAAACCAGGCTTCATCAACAGGCTGTGCACCCCTGAGGTCGTCATTTAACTTTACTAAGGCTTATTTTCCTCAAACATATAATGGAGAAAATAGAACAATATCATCTATCCCATGGGATATCATGGGATATTGAGGACTTTTGCTATGGTAACAAAAACGTTTAGTACTTAATGGGTGCTCAATGAATGATCATGGCAGTGGTGGTATATGAAAAGTATAGCTCAGAGAAGCTAAAGGAGTTGTCCAGAATCACCCAGCAGGTAGCCAGCAGGTCCTCTCTGACATTCTGCTCTTTCTGTAGCACCCAGCAACCTGAATTATGGCCGTATCAGAACACATCGCCACCAGGTCAGGGAAGAAGTGCTTTGCTTTTTAAATTTAAATGTTTAGAAGCCTGGGAATGAGCAAGGAAAAGCACGGCACCATTAGAGGCATATACTGCATGAAGTCTAAATTCAACCTTTTCTTCCTTGGGGGCTTTCTGAAAAACATGAACCTGATTCTCCCATCGAGAACTACCAGTCTAATAACATTTTCTTATTATGCACATCGCTTAAATACAGCCTGTAACAAATATTCTGGGGTTTGTCCTGGGAGGCATATAAAAATAGATATACAGTCATACACCACATAATGATGTTTCAGTCAATAATAGACTGCATATACAACAGCACTCCCGTGAGACTGTAATACCTTATTTTGACCGTACCTTTTTTCTATGTTTAGATGTGTTTAGATACACAAATACTTCCCACCGTGTTACAGTTGGCCACAGTGTTCAGTAATGTGCAGGTTTGTAGCCTAGGAGCAATAGGCTACACCACCTGTGTTTATGTAAACACACCCTATGATGTTCCCACAATGACCAAACTGCCTAACTAAGCATTTTTAAGAATGTGTTTCCATCATTAACACATGACTGTATAATCATTTTCTCAAAGAATGGAGTGCAATCTAGAAGTCAACAACAGCAGCAAAACAAAAAAATCAAACATAAACCAACCACTGCTCAACAGAATGTGATTTCAGACAGGGAGAAGATGGCTCCTAAGAGGCAGCCATCCGTTACAGTGAGGGCCCATCACCTCTTTCCCCTCCTCCTTCTCGGGTGCAACCCCAGCCAGCTCCACGGCCTGCGTGCTCTGCACATTGTCCACTCCGGTCTGCCCACAGGAGGCATGCTCCTTCCTCTCTGTAGCCTCTGGCACCTGCTCCTCTGTGTCAGAGCCTTCCCCTTCGTCCTGCTTCTGAAGAGAAATCAAACACAGCATTGAATGCTCTGGGGGATGCGCAGAGGGTAGGGGGTGGGGTCCCTGCAGCAAGCAGGCCCCCCACTCCTCACTGAGGGGAGTCTGCAGGGAGGGCATCAGCCACAGAGAGTCTTAAAACAGAAACTTAAAACCCCTTCACAGCACCACCTGATGGTGGCAAAGTATCCTCAGAGAGTCTAGTGGGAACAGGTGCATTTCTCCTCCTCCTCGTTATTTTTAACATACGAAAAGCCAGACATCCCACAATACCTGGGGCTGGAAACCTTGCTCAACGGGGACATCACTCTCTCCACCTTCCTCATCAGCTCCCCTGTCCTCTTCCTCCAGAGACTGCTGCTGCTCCTCTGAGTTTTCTTCAGGAAGTTCAGCAGTGTCTGTGTCTTGGTTGTCAGCTCCTGTGTCCATCTCCTCCTCCTCCCCTTCCATCTTGTCATTTTCACCGGGGCCTTCCTCAGGCTCATGTGGACCTTGACCTTCACTCTGGTCAGCCTCAGTCTCTTCGTTTCTTTCCTCAGCTTCATGACCTGCTTCTTTTGAATCCATCGGTTTTTCTTTTATCTCCAAAGGATTTTCCTCTGGATAGATACAAGAAGAAGAAAGAACACAGAATTTTAAAAACTTACATCGTTTCTTAAGCTGGGAGGTAGTTAGGCAAGTGTTTGTTTTTTTATTATTCTCTAAACCAGAGTTTGACACACTGACCCACAGGCCAGATCTGGCCCTCCACATGTATCTGCAAATAAAGTTTTACTAGAACACAGCCATATATATTCTCTTACCTATTAACATATGCTTACCCCATCCATTTATAGTGCCTATGGCTGCTTTCACACTATAGCAGTAGAACTGAGCTTATGGCTTACAAAGCCTGAAATATTTATTATTTGACACTTTATAGAAAAAGTTTCCTTACCCTTGTTCTAAGTATTCATATATCACATACAATTATTTCAAATGGCACATTTCATTAAAAAATAATAAGTAATCCACTTTAAAAAAAAAAAAATCGGTCGGGCGCGGTGGCTCACGCCTGTAATCCTAGCACTCTGGGAGGCCGAGGTGGGCGGATTGTTTGTTTGAGCTCAGGAGTTCGAGACCAGCCTGA